TTAAGTATGCATGCTTGTTTGTATGTTTGTATGTATGAATGAATGTATGCATGCAGGCATGCATGTATGGATGTGACCACTAAATGGAGTTAAGTAGACATGTTTGGTTGGTGTGCCGGTCTGCTCAACTCAGTGAGCATGGGGAAGTTGATAAGAGAGAAAGTGAGAAGCATGCGAACATGTTAAAATGCCGACAGAAGCACCATTCTGGATGGAATTCGTGTCTACAGGCAGCATATAATGTCCTGCTATTTTTCAACGGTACAAATCGTCTGCAGGTCTGAATGCGTCGATCTACTGGCTGCTCACGCCATTTTACAATCGGTTCAGACGCGAATTGACTGGGCCAAAAAAGATTGTATCTTCTTCAGTTGCATCTCTCTCCTCCAGCCTGAGGCTCTGGCAAATTCAGGCCATGCCAACCGGTACATTTCACTTTTGCATTTTACCCATTCCTTCGTCATGTCTTCCAGCCGGTCTCGGTGTCGGGCGAGACTAATGTCCCCTCGGACAGGCTCTACTCCGCCAGCAATCTACAGCATTTAGGCGCATCGACTCTGCCCTCCATCGTTGGCGGCAGCAACCACGGCGGTGGAAGCCGCCCTCCTCTGAAGCCAGACGCCCGGCTCGGCCAGCCGATCGACATGACTTCATTGTTTATGGTCGAGGTCAAGTTGCTCAGTGATGATCAGCCTCCTCTACAAATCGAGGTCACGGTAAGCAGAGCAACCAGGCTACATGTCACGCAAATAGGGCCATGAAAAATATTCATGCATACTCATATACTACTTACAAGGCTTTGGATGGAGTGAGTACGTTCTGAAGATAGCTGAAAATAATGAATAGCAACTCGAGTCCACTTGGCAAGTCAAGATGAAATAAATATGCAAAACAATGTCAATAAATTTAACATAGATTGCCTCTAGAAATTCAATTAAACTCCTCTTATATAGTCGAGGTCAAGTAGCTCATCTAGGATCAACCGCCTCACAAATCTACCAAAGATAATAAAAGCAAATTACCAAATACAAAAACAATAAAAAGTAATTAATAGTAAACAAGCAGAAGCTTTTACGCAGGCATGTTAACAGTTTCAACAGTCTGCACAATTATGAAACGTATTTCTTTTACAGTAGATGTTATTAATCAAATTACAAAATGATTAGTACTAATCAGTATACGATTAGCTAATAGTCGTAACTAATTCACTAAAACCTTTCACTATTTTGGACACAAAAGATGATATCAATAAAATAAAAGCATCCATGTAAATTCTGATTGATATATGAAATTTGTACCATAAGTGGTAGCGATACCAAAATATCAGCTAAAACAAAAATTTTATAGCAAGATCTAGTCAGTCTCATCTAAATTACATCACGGAAAAGGCAAAATTATCGCGAATAAAATATGAGAAATAACGAATAATATAAATCTCTATTCAAAACGCAAAATCAAATATTTATATATATACATATTGCTCTAAAAATAAACCTCTTAATAACTACTAAGGTTATCAGTATAGATGCGAAAACAATAAATTAAATGAATATATAACCGTATTTTGTAATCATGCCCCATCTAGTTTAAACATTCTAGCGATTTCATCAAAATATATCGTTAAATAATTTTCAGGAAACCACAACTGAGCACTCTATAAATACCATACTGCTTCTAAAACCTTTAAAACAATGAGTTTATATGAATGCTGCGCTACACAAAATTTATTACAATAACATATTAAACAACCGTATTATTACATAATAAAGAATTGCATAAATTAGTTAATTTGAAGCTGAAAGCCTAAAAAACAACACGAGATATGACATTTAATAAATAATTCTTGTCTAAAAATAATTTTATTGAAGAATCAACAGTTTTCACTAGATTGGAAATATTAAAATGAAAAAATCTATGGCTAGTGTTCAAAAATACTGATGAGCGATTATAGCAACAGGATTAACCACACTTTTAAGCAACTCTAACTGATCTTGTGTGAGTATGCAATATAAATAAATTCAAAACTAAACTAAAACTAGAATAAAACCTCTTGCTTTAAATAACGAAGCCTATTTAATATTTTCATAACTACCACAAATATAGCCTTATTCATTCTTGTAGAGAAAAATATCTATTAATAACTGTAAAAAAGAAATTTTAAAAAAGTATAAAATTTTTAAATTTTGCTCATATGCATATTGATGGAATAGTGCGATAAAAAATTACACCTACTTTTAGTGGCAGCATTATTCGTATGTTACTTATTCACTACTGATAACCAGCTGGTTGTATACTCACTCCTTACTTGTCAGGTCTACCAGCGTTGCATTCCACTTGACTGACCAGGGCTATTTTCTTTTTTGGCCAACTTTGATTGAATGTCATAAAGAAATGAAAACTTTTCTGAAAGGCCCAATGATTTTCCTGAGTGAATCGAGTCCTGTCCTCAGAGAAAATTCACTATCTGGGCCTACAGACGCATATTCAAATTCTTATAAACCCCAGTAAATCATCCTTAGCTAATTTCTTGTTGGATCCTAGAATTGATGAAGCTATGCACAACTACCATTGTATTTTTCACAAAAGCCATGGATATTAACTTGAAGGGGCCTCCATTCATATAAAAATAATCTGTATTTTTCCAAAATAAATAACATCATTCATGCAAAAGATTTGTCAAAACGGCATCTGACGTCCTGTCTTCCCAAGTCTCCTGGAGCAGAATCATGTTTCGTGGTATTGATAAAGGACGAAACCGACCACAGCGATGAGATGAATGGTCTAATGGCGAATGTTAACTGGTTCATCTTGACATTGTCAAAACATGGCTACTGGTTTGCATATTTCAGAAAACACCCTTTCCCAAACCCCGACTTATGGACATAGATTTATGCTTACAGACTGACACCCAAATATAAATATTCAATTATCACATTGTCAGGAGCACTTTCATTTCGTATGAAAGTGAATGAAACGAAGGAAGAAGTCTTGTTGTCAAAATGAATATCACATAAAAGCCAAACGGCTGCCGTACAACGAGATTCATCCGTCCTCATCTGGTCAGATCGACCAACGAATCAGCTCTTCTTGCACTTTCATACGAAATTAAAGCCCCCCTAACAATGTTATCTCAAGAGATTCATATAAACCCAGTTTCTCTTTAATTATCACAGTTTGTGCCAGAGCTTTCCAAGCTTTCCCCCATTTAATAACTTTCTTTGACCAGTCCGTGGAGACAAGATAAAATATCTCAAATATGAAGAGAAGCTGGGTTTCGTAGAATCCCTTAATAGATTCATGCTGGCATACCTTTCATTTCGTATGGGATTCGAATCCCTTCCATCCGCATTCTCAAACTGACTGAAAGATGTGCCAGTGTTAAAGTATCTCAAGTCTATAACCTTGAAAAATCAGAGGTTTTCTCTTAAAATATAAGCAAATAATCTATTCTGGCCATCAGTTCAAATCACAAAAAACGCCTTTTTACAGTCTTAGTCACAAAAGTGCATGCATTACTCTATTGTTTACATGCTTTTCGCTTTCAATACTGAAGGAGGGACTTGCTTCGCCTAAAATCCCGGGCACAATGTCACTCCAGACCACGACTGAGCCAACCTGCCTAAAGCAAACACGTTCCTACTTTGGTTCACTCATCATTTATTCATACTACTATTATCGATTCTGTAGACAATTTTCAACTGCTGTAGTTATGGAAATGCATTCTAGTTGAGGGGAACGTAGAAAAAATACTTCGTGGCAGACATATTCGCGTTAGATATGAAGAAAGGCAGGGTTTAGAAGAATCCGCTTGTGATACATTGTTACATAACTGTTTCAACACGTGTCAAGCTCCCGTCCTGCACGGTCACGGTTCGAGTCCCGCTGGGGGTGTTGATAAGACCGATGCGAGGTCGAAGCTGCAGTCAACTCCAGCCGGGATGAGAACTAAATTTTTGGAAAGCAAAGCTCTATGCAATTCAATGGAAATCTTCTACCAGTCATTCATCACCTTGAACGAAAATTTGGTGAATACATCTCATACTACTGATTTACTGGTAGGCTCGAAACAATACGTAAATGCGAAAAATAACTGTTCATATCGAAAAAAATGTGAATAGAAGCAATTCGTGAAATGGTCTTTCCGGAAACCGAGGGATTATTGCCGCCAAGTGAAAGCTTGCGCTTTGCGAAGAAGTCCTCGGCTCACTGTCCTGCTGTGGTCTGTATCTTCGTGACAAGGCAAGAATCTCTGCTTTGTGAAATAACGCAAGACTTTGCTAAACGAAGAGAAAAGGTGGTCTGCTGCTAATCTAGCCTCTTTTTTGTACACCCAATCTTGCGATCTTAATGAGGCGTGCCATCGTTGGTTGGTCACGTCAAACTGACTCTGCATGCTTGCAGCAGATGAGTAAAGTTGACTCATGAACAGAAAGTGGATTCTGTGGCAGCTCCTTTCTTACACAAATAATCTTGCATAAGACCCTATTGTGTGTATGTCATGTTTGCCTAAATCTCTGGGGGCTAACTGGCATTTCGTACCATAACTGAGCCATTCTGTGTAAAACGAGGATGGTCCTACTTTGAGTTCACTTAAGATTTATTCATACTACTATTATCGTTTATGTAGTCAAGTTTCAACTAGCATAGTTACTGAAATTCATTCTAATTGGAGGAAAGTTGAAAATACCTCATGGTGGGCATGCTATTGCTAGCCCATCTTTTTTATTTTTAAGTGTTTTACACAATGCTGAATTTGTACCATCTCCATTTTTCAACAGATTTGCATGAATGTTATATATCACCATTAATATAACTATCTAATGCTATCTAATGATGAAACATTATGGTTGCCTAAAGCTCTATTTCTTTCTTGCAAGATGGTATGGAATTTCTGCGATGGTAGCAACTTATAAATATGGAGAAATTTGCATAAATTATCTAGTGCCGCGACATTTCTGTTGAAGTTCGTCAATGTTGAGCTGGACAACTTTGCTGAATCTGCCTGATTTGTTGGGCTAAATTTAAAGAAGTAATTGTTCCTAAAGTTATAAATTGACAGTCCGTAGGGATAATAACATCTGATGACATCTCTTATACAAGTTGCTTTCGACTTGAGTTGCCCAGCAAAAGTACTGTTGCTTAAGGACTAGGGAGATTGTTTGCAGGACGAAATATGGATCAGTATGTTTGCGGCAATGAGCATGCTTCACATGTCCCCTCCACGCCTCTTCTCTGCTACGATTTGTCAACTATCTCTAATTGATGTGCGGTACTTTACTGGTTATGATAAATTAGT